TATATCCATGTGTTCCATTTATTTGATTCTTAAATAGGCAGTATATATATATACTATACAGGGGTTTAGTACATAACAAAAGTGGACAATAATGACAAAGATATGTACAAAAACATGACATGATATACATATGTATCTATGATCAGGGGTTAATAATGGAATTAATTGAAGTTGGACACAATTTGTCATGCAATTGTCATTATTTTATTATTGTCATTCATTATTTACATTCTGTACATATAATAATATGTTACTATTATATAATAATGTATACAATATACAAAATTAATTATCCTATCATATATATATCTATCAGGGGTTAATAATTTTAAATTATTATTATAAATTTGTCATTATTAACCTGATATCATATATGTATTCAAATTTATTATATTGTTTTTCCCTATTACCTACTTCGAGTATCATTGCTATACGCAAATCCCACGCGTGTCAATTTACAGTGGATATTACGCATACGATAATCCTCAGGGTACGGTGGTGGTGGGCGGACTGAGGTGGAGGGGGATTACGGTCCGGTCGTACAACGTCCAGGGGGAGGTGGAGAGGGGGTAATCCCTCCAAGCGTGTTTTCACTAATTGCGGGTTTGTTATGTACGCCAGTAGCACAATATCGCTAGCTATATATGAATGAAAGAAACGGAGAAATGTTGATCGAATCACCGATCAGTTGACCAGTTCGTGGACAGTTACAGACATAGCTGATACACTCGCGACGACAACGGAAAGATCGTTCGACGCAAACAGGCGCAATCGGCCGCCGTCTATGTACAATTTTTTATTACCGTCTGTAATGTTTGCGCGTTTGGTTATTTCGAGTATTGATTCAGTCGATCCCACATTCATCTCGCTTGAGCTATGAAGGATCTGTACTAGTATATTATCCCCCCCCCAATCGATCAGTCGGGCCCTTGGGTTTATTTTTTTTTTTTTCCACGTTTATCCGATGCCTTGGTGCATGAACTCCCTCCCCTCCTTTCCTTTCTTTCCCTTCTTTCTTCTCCCCTCCTTTCCCTTCCCTTTCTCCTTCCCATTCTTCCTCCTCTTCACCGCAGCTATCTCTTATCCCCAATCCCTTCTCTTCCCACTTCTCCCTATACAGATGGCCCTCTCATTCCCGCCTCTCGTTTTTCTCCCTATCTCTTCTCATCCTTTCTTTTCCCCTACCCTCCATCTCCCTCTCGAACCTTCCCTTCTATCCTTCTCCCGCGGCTCCCAACTTCCACCTCTTCATGTCCCTGGCCTCTTTCTCCCTTCTCCTCTCATTTTTCCTCCTCTTCTGGCCTCCCCTCCTCTTCTCCCCTTTTCTCCTCATTCCCTTCCCGCGTTCTCCTTTTCCCCCCTCTCCCCTTGGGCCCTCCCCCTCCTATCCTCCCATCCTCCCCTCTCACCTTCCCCGCCGAGCTTGGCACTGTACTGCCGGTCAGTATATGAAATGGACATGGAGGGGACATTACTGGACTAGACACACGCAGATTTATCATCGTATAGGTGTACAACAACCTCCCCCCCCTCCCCCCCCCCCCCCCCCCCCCCCCCCCCCCTCCCCCTCTGATTTGCGACGGTGCGTGCGTTGCGTTGCGCTTGCGTGGTTGTGTGTAGTGTATGTGCTGTGTGGTGTGTGTTTGGGGTGTGTTGACTGTGTATGTGTGTGTCTGTATGCGCGCGATGTGTGTATTAGTATGCAGTGAAGCGTCCGTGTATTGTTGGTGTGTGTAGTGTGATGATGACGGATGTGTGTGTGTGTGTGTGCGGATGGCAATGCGCATGTGCTGTGTGCTGCTGTGTGTGACGGCATGTGTGTTGTGTTGTGCTGCGCGCGCGCTTGTATGATGCGGGCGTGCGGTGCGTGCAGTGCGGTGTGTGCCGTATGTGGCGTCGTGCTGTAATTGATGTACATACGTACTGTGTTTCGACAGGCGGACGTTTACTCGCGGATTGAGTTGGCTTAGGCTTTCGTCTTGCATGTTCAGTACTAAAGGGCCACGTTACGTGCGCTCTCGCGAGCCCTCTTAGCGCGGACACTGGTCATGGGAAGCGTAGCGAAAGGAAAACAAATTATCACACACGGTCTAGCTACGCACATCGGTCGTCTCCATCGTTGACACATCGCATCCTCCAATGTTGACCAAACATTGTCCTTCCATCGGTTGACAAACATTGTCCTCCCAATCGATTGGGGACACATCGTCATCTCGATATTGACACATCGTCATCTCGATCGTTGACACATCGCATCCCCACGTTGACACATCGTCGGCCCCATCGTTGACACATCGTCAGGTTCGCCAATCGTTGGACACATCGTCATCCCATCGTTGACACATCGTCATCCCCGATCGTTGGACACATCGGTATCGCCCAATCGTTGACACATTGTCCTCCCAATCGTTGAAGATCGTCATCCTCGTCATTATGAACACATTCGTCATCTCGCATCGTTGACACATCGCTACTCCCATCGATTGAACATCGTCGTCCATCGTTGGGCACATCGTCGTACCATCATTGACACATCGTTATCCCATCGTTGAACAATTGTTCTCCATCGTTGACACAATTGTTCTCCAATGTTGACACATCGTCATCTCGATCAAATTGAACATCGTTATATCGATCGTTGGAAACATGCGTGTCCCATTTCATATTTGACACATCGTTATCCCATTCGTTGAACATTGTTATCCCCATCGTTTGATACTCGTCAATCCTCGGTTTGACACATGTTATATACCCATCGTTGCACATCGTTCGTCCCATCGTTGACATTGTCATCCCAATCGTTGACACATTTTAGTACATTCCATCGTTGAACAATTGTCTCCCATCGTGAAACATCGTCATTCCCCTCGTTTGGAACATCGTCATCCCATCATATGACACATCGTCGCTCCCAATTCGTGAACATCGTCATTCCCATCGTTGGATTTAATCGTCGCGGCCCATTCGCTTTGATAGCGCATCCCATAGTTGACACTACGTCATCTCGATCGTTTGACACATTGTCATTTCCCATCATTTTTACAAAATCGTCATCCCCATCGTTGACACATCGTCATCCCCATCGTTGACACATCGTCATCCCCATCGTTGACACATCGTCATCCCCATCGTTGATACATTGTCATCCCCATCGTTGACACATTGTCATCTTCACCGTTGACACATCGTTGACACATATAGTTATCTACATCGTTGATCTTTGACGTATAAGCATGATTTCCGCGTGCGTATTGCCACAAACTCATCATGATCTTATCCTCCCCGCACCTGAACATCGCGCGGGGGATTTCCGCAGAAGCTTCCCTTCCTTATTGATCGCCGCTATCACACTATCCGTTGTATATCTCTGTCGCAGGTGAAATTTGTTGTTTGCCCGTTATATAGACACGCCGTTGGTGATCATGGGGTGGTTGTGATGATTGAAGAGCCGTATTGATTATAGCTGGGTGTGCGACACCATCGACGGGCTTTCACAATCGGTGACATTTGCGGACACACACCGTCGTGTTTATAGTGTTTTGTGGAGACCGACGGACTTAACTATTAGTGGACGTATCGTTGTGGACCTACTCACTCATATTTGTTGACTCGTCGCTGTACTATTTCTTGACATATCTTCTTTGTACTCAACTCTAATTGTTAACATGTCGCTGTACATAACTATCAGTGAATATACCGTTGTGCTTTACAATCTGTGGGTCTACCGTCTATTGTTACAATTAAATGTGCGTAGAGATCTCTGGACTTAACTACTCGTGGACATATCTCTGTACTCACTTATATTTGTTGACATGTCGTTGTACCTAACTATTTGTGGGTATATCGCTGTGCTTACAAATCTGTGGATATATTGTTATAATTATCTGTGGAAGTCCGTAGACTTGACTGTCTGCGGACACATTATACTTCACTATATTTGTTCACATATCTTTGTACTTTACTATATTTGATGACATATATTTGTACTTTACTATATTTGATGACATATATTTGTACTTTACTATATTTGATGACATATCTTTGTACTTTACTATATTTGATGACATATCTTTGTACTTAACTATATTTGCAGATATATCGCAGTATAGTGCCTAACCATCTATGAGCATATTACGATAATCAACGATTTCTAGACACATCGTCGTACCTATACAACTATGGGTTGAAATCACCGTATTGAGTACTTACCGCTTTTAAATTTCAGCGCTGCGTTCCCCATGACATTCAGTCAGAGAGCAGTATCATTCCAGCAACCACGCGAGATGGTTTATCATTGGTGTATGCGTAACGACTGTGGCTAACATGCCAGCAAGGGATTATTCACATCCGGCCTAGAAAGCAAGAACTTCGGGCTATAACAAATATGTCGTGACATGTTGACAAGTTGTGTGTCTATGACTAGATCTATAGCATCGAGAGCGTATAAAAACAAACATTAAAAAATGTCAGAATCAAACAAATCACGATAAAGCAAGAATAAGATGTGTTGTATCAAAAGTGAATGAAATAATGTTTGTTTTCATTTACTCCTGGTAGTGTGCATATTTAGATCTACATTCCTTCATGAAAGTGTCGGCCATATGAAGCGATACTTTCCACAAAATTAATGATATTTTGTTCTCTACCGTGCTATCTAACTTGCCATTATTTCCCATCATGTCGTCATATTTTTTCATTAAAATTTTTTGCAATCTAAAAAGCCTTCAATAGTTTTAGCTTTCAAGGATGTATCTTGTCGCGAAACCTACTTTTCTTACCAATAACACATTTTCTACGCAATTTTCTGTTTTGCACGTCAGCATAATCACACACGAACACCCGTGTAGATAAAAACAAAGTCAAGGTATAGAATAAAGGTGTTTAAAGTTTAATTGACAAGCTTTAGGTGTAGGCGAAATGGGAGTAGGCGAAATGGGTGTAGGCGAAATGGGAGTAGGCCACTTGGGATGTTACCGTATTTCTCTCGTTATATAACTTACTTCGCATTCGACCTTTCTTGATGAGTTTCTTCTTTGACAGAATCTTCATCGCGTAATGCTTGTCATCCTTCTCGTTATAAGCCAGCCTCACGATTCCGTACGAGCCCTGGAGGCATCAACATCAATCACGTCAACACACACACACACACACACACACACACGCGCGCGCACACACACACACACACACACACGCACGCACGCACACACACACACACGCACGCACGCACGCACGCACACACACATACGTACGCGCGTACAGACGCTAATGATCAATGTTATCAAGAGTGCATCATAGAAAATTTAAGAAGAATTTAATTACAAAATTTAATTTCTAAAATTCTATTTCTAAAGAGAATTTAATTACAAAATTTTCTATTATGGACTCTTGATGTGATTCTTATGTTGTAAGAAAAATAAAGCATAACATCAAATATAATTCTTTCGATGTCTGCATACTTAAAATATCAACTATTATAATATAAGTACACAAGCAACACAATACTCTTATAATGCTCCCGAACACTCTTATAGTGCCGCTGGGTTAAGCTAAGTCGCTGCTCTCCTCCCTTTTAAGCCACTCGCACTTTGTACACATATAACTAGTGCACTCAAGAGTCAGTACGAATCGCAACAATATGTCGTCACTAAACACACAGGTTAATTGAAGCTTGTACCTGAGTGTTGCCCCGATCGTCGGTGTCGTAGAAGAGCATGGAGAGTCCACCTCTGATAGACGAACGACCGAAACGGACAAGTTATACGATCATGATGCGATGCGAGTCATAAATGATGATCGAAGTAGGCGGTTCAACAAAGCTCCGATATCGGAAAACTATCAATCACAACTACAGTGTTTTGTATGATACATAAGGTATATAATACCTCCGTAATCGTCTATAAAACATATATTATAATATGATATAATATAATATAACATAACATAATATAACATAACATAATATAACGTAATATCATATGAAGCAGTCTAAGAACAGCTAGCGGTATCTTCCGGTACAGCGACGTACATTCGCGTGAATGTTTACATATACATCGACGCCCGGCGTCATGTTACCATGGCAATCGACTCGCTCGTTTAATTAACCTTACCTCTATCTTCGCGACGTTTGTCGGCTGCGGCGGTGCCCGGATATAGCAAGGTCGTCACGTTCACCGACGTCTCGCTAAGTGCTTTGTCGGCCGTCGATAGGGGACGCACGTTTTCCGAGTAGTAGTCTAGAGATGAGATACACGCTCGTAGGCCTGGGTCGACGATGCAGACCGCAGCGCTGTACGTGGCTTGCAGCGCGGCTAGTGCAGGCGTCATCACCACCTGCATTACCACCGCAGCAGCAACGATGGAAATATCACATTAGCTGAAGAAAGGGAGGATGAACAAGAGGATGACTAACAAGTGGGAGAATTGCTGACGACGTGGCTGCAGCAGCTGCTGGTGGGGAGCACGCTTGAATGCGCCTCGCGTTGTCCGCGCGTGGGTTGTCAACGGATGGGAAAATGATCTCCCTCTATCCCCTACATCTACTAGCCAGCTAGAATTTACACCTATATCTATGTGTCATTATCTTATCTATACATTGGCAGATATATTGGGGAAATTTTCTCCTCTTCCCTTCCGCCGCTCCCTTTTCCAAACCTCTCCCTGGCCCCTCCCTCACTCACTCCTACACTCCCAATCTCCTCACCTTCCCCGCTAATCAACCCACCCGACCGCCGCACAGTTAATGACATGCATGGACCATGCAACGTCAACACACGCCCCAAGCCAGAAATTATTATCCATCGAACTCAAGGTGACACACCCCCCCACCACCCTGCAACTGCCGAACCACACGGTGCGACATGACTCGCCGCTGATACGTGTGCTGTGCGTCGACCGTGTGTGCGTCGTGTTGTATGACTTGACTGACGATCCAGATTGCTACGGCGTGTGTGTGTCGTGTGTGGTGATGTGTGTGTGAAGTGATGTTGACTCGTCATCGTGTAAATGTGTGTGTGTGTGTGTGTGTTATGTGTGCCTGTGTGTGTGCTGATGTGAAATGTGATGGTGTGTGTGCTGTGACTGAAATGTGTTGTGTGAACGCACGCACGCAAAGGATGTCGGTGTGGTAATATTATGTGTTATGATGTAGTAAAAGAAGACGAACGTGCGTGCAGTGACTGTGTTTGTGCGTGCTGTGTGTAAGTAGATGAGTAGTGTGCGTAAGAAGTGTAAGATAAGAATGCGCGGGTGTGCGTGATGTAGTTTGTGATGTGTGAGATGTGTGTAAATAGTAGTGATGTGTGCTGTGGTGGTGTGGTGATGTGTGTTGGTGTGTGTGCTCCTGCGCGCGTAGTGTGTTGTGTACATGAGATTGCGCGTCAAAAAACCGTGTTTCTGTGGTGTGTGTGTGTGTTGCGCGCCCGTCGTGCGTGATTGTGTTTGTGTGTGTGTGTTTGTGTGGCTGTGTTTCGGTGGTGTGTGTGTGTGTGTGTGTGTGGTGTGCGCGGCGCGCTGTCTGTGCGGGCGTGGCGGTGTGCGGTGGCGTGATGCGGTCGCGTATGTGCGTGTCGTGCGCGTGTGTTGTGCGGTGGTGTTGCTTGCATGTCCTCCGTCCTGGTGATCGCCCGCCGCGGCGTCACTCGCCGCCGGTGCGTTGCTCGGCTCTCCTCCTTGCTGTCTCCCTCTCCGGGCCCCTGTAGTGCGCTCTCCGCGCGCGCCCTCTTCGACCGCGGGCCATGCGTGGGCGCGTGCCCGCCCCCCATTCTCCGACCCCCGCGTCCTCTTCTCCGCCCCATCGGTCGTCTCCCTCGTTGCCTCGTCCTCCTCCATCGTTTGCCACCTTGTTCCTCTCTCCTCGTTGCCCACTTGTCCTCCCATCGTTGCCACGATGTCCATCCGAGTCGCTCTTGCAAAGATCGTCCCTCGCTCGTTGCCATCCTCGTCCTCCCCCTGTTCCTCGGTCCCCCTCCGTGGCCCCCCTAGTCCTCGCTCCTCGTTGCCCCATTGTCCTGCCCCTCGTTCCCCCATCGTCCTCATCCCTCGTTGCCCCCTCGGTCTCTCGCTCTCGTTGCCTCCCTTGTCCTCCCCATCGTGCCCTTGTCCTCCCCCTCGTTGCCCCCTCGCCTCTCGCTCGTTGCCCCTTGTCCTCCCCCTCGTTGCCCTCTCCGGTCCTCTCGCTCGTTGCCGCCGTCGTCCTCCCCCCCTACGTTGCCCCCGTCGTCTCCCCTCGTTGCCCTCGTCCTCCCCTCGTTGCCCCCTTGTCCACCCCTCGTTGCCCCTCGATCCTCTCGCTCCGTTGCCTCCCTCGTCCTAAACCCCTCGTCTGCCCCCTCGTCGTCCCCCTCGGCCACTGTCCTTCCCCTCGTTCCCTCCTTGTCCTCGTCCCTCGTTGCCCCCGTTGTCCTCCCCATCGTTGCCCCTCGTCCTCCCCCTCGTTGCCCCCGTCGTTCCTCCTCCTCGTTGCCCCCTCGTCCTCCCCTCTCGTTGCCCCCTTGTCCCCCCCTCGTTGCCCCCGTGTCCTCCCACTGTTGCCCCCCTTGTCCTCCCCTCGTATGCCCCCTCGTCTCCCGCCTTTCGTTGCCCCCTCGCCTCACCTCTCGTGCCCCCTCGTCCTCCCCCTCGTTGCCCCCTCGTCCCTCCCCTCGTTGCCCCTCCTCGTCCTCGTCCCTCGTTCCCCCTCGCCTCCCCTCGTTGCCCTCGTACCATCCCAACCCCCCTCGTTGCCCTTGTCCTCCTCTTCGTTGCCCCCTCGTCCCTCGTCCCTCGTTCCACCTCGTCCTCCCCTCGTTTGCACCCCTCGTCCCTCCCCCCTAGTTGCCCCCTTGTCCTCCCCTCGTTGCCCCCTTCGTCGTCGGCCCCTCGTTCCCCCCTCGCTCCCCCCTCGTTGACCCCATCGTCCTCCCCCTCGGTTGCGCCCTTGTCCTGCCTCCTCGTTGCCCCCTCGTCCTCGGACCCCTCGGCCCCGTGTCTCCCCCCTCGTTCCACCTGTCCCTCCCCCGTTTGCACCCCTGTCCTCCCCTCGTGCCCCTGTCCCTCGTTCCCTGTTGCCCCCCGTCGTTGCCCGTCTCGTTCCTCCCGTCGTTGCTCCTTTTCCCGGTCTCGCGCCTGCTTTCCGCGTGCGCTTGTCCCCCCCTCTCCTGCTCTTCTCCTCCCCGCCCCTGCACCTCTCGCGGGGCTTCCGCGCCCTTTCTTTCTTCTTTGCCTCGCCGCTCTTGACTTCTCCGTTTGTCTCTGTCCGTCGCCGGTGCCCCTTTGTTGTTTGCCGCGTTCTCCTCGTCCCGCCGTTGTGCTCACTGGCGTGGCTTGTGCTCTGCCGCCGCCGTCTTGCTTATAGGCCTGGGTGTGGCGCCCCCTCCGCCGCGGGCTTTCCCTCTTGGTGCCCTTTGCGGCCCCCGCCGCTCGTCGCTCTCGTGTTTCTGTTGGCCCCGCCGGCTTTCCCTCTTCGTGGCCGTCTCGTTGTCGGCCTTCCTCCGCTCCTCGTTGTTGCCAGCAGTCGTCGCTGTCCTCTTTGCCCTCTCTTCTTCGTCCTCCCTCCGCTTGTTACCCTGGTGGCTGTCTCCTACCACTCCTGCCTCTCCCGTTGCTTTCCCTTGTTGTGGTCTCCCGCTCCTTGTTACCCTTCCGTCGTCGCGCTCTTCTGGCCTTAACTCCTCGTGGCCCCTCCTCTGTCCTCCCTTCCTTTGTTGCCCTGTCGTTGCCGTCCCATTGTGGGTTCTCTTCGCTGTGCTTCCCATTCTGTGGCTCTCTTGTTCTCCTACTGTGCCGTCGCGTCGCCTGCCTTGGTCTTGCGGCCCCCTTCCTACTTCCCTCTCTTCTGTTCCCCTCTCTGCCTTTACTCTCAATTTGTCCTTTCTCTCTCTTTGCTGCCCTCTCGTTTGACTTCCCTCGTCTTTGCCGCTCTCTCGCCGTCTAGTGGCCTTCCCCCTCTCTGCGCCTATTACGCTACTCCCTCTTTCTCGCCCCCTCGTTGTACTATCCCCCTCTGGTTCCATCCCCGTATTGAGTCCTTACCAGTTCAATTTCAGCGCTGCGTTCCCATGACATTCAGTCAGAGAGCAGCATCATTCCAGCACCTACGCGAGATGGTTTATCATTGGTGTAGTGCGTAACGATGTGGACTAACATGCCAGCGCAAGGGACTTATTCCATCCGCTAGAAAACATAGAACTTCAGTTATAACAAATATGTGTGACATGTTGACAATGTGTGTCTATACTAGATTCTATAGGCATCGAGAGCGTATAAAAACAAACATCTAAAAAAATGTCCGAATCAAACAAATCACGATAAAGCAAGATAGAGTGTTCTGTACTCAAAAGATGATGAATAATGTTTGTTTTCATTTACTCCTGTAGTGTGCATATTTAGATCTACATTCCTTCCAGAAAGCTGTCGCCATAACTGAAGGCCCGATACTCTCACAGCAAAAATTAATGATATTTTGTTCTCTACCGTGCTATCTCTGCCATTATTTCCCATCATGTGATTAATTTTTCCTTAAAATTTTTTGCAAATCTTAAAAAGCCTTTAATAGTTTGTAGCTTCTCAACGGATGTATCTTTGTCGCGAAACCGTACTTTTCTTACGCATAACGACATTTTTTCTAGCATTTTTCTATTTTGCACGTCAGGCATCAATCGACACACGAACACCGTGTAGACTAAAAACAAAGTCAAGGGTATAGAAAAAGGTGATTTAAAGTTTAAATGACAGCTTTCGAGATTACATCTCTTCATCAGTCAGCAGACATTGGAATAGAATCAAATAATCCATAAAACAAATTCAAATGCGTTATAGATAATAAAAAAGACGAGTCAACCAATTCGCGCGTTGCAATGAATACGGACGACAAAAGAAACGCACATATTATACACACGCACAAAAAAACACACACACACACAAAAACAATCACACACGACACCACACACACACCACAACACACACCACACATACACACACAATACATACATACACACACACACCACTACCACACACCACACACACCACCACACACACACACCACACACACCCACACCACACACAAACACACACACACACACACACACACACACACACACAACGAAGTCAATAGCCCTCAAAAATCACACGTAGATTAAAGTTTTAAGGCGTTCATCATGCCCCCTGGATAAAACAACCTAACCCTCAGAATTAATTTCTGCTCAGCTCATTGTCGACGTGAGGATTGTAATATGGTGTAGTTGGCAGCCACAAACACGCACGCATCAATGCGCGTGATCTGGTTGGTTAAAAATAGTCAGCAAGCCGGAAACTTTAATTACGTGTGATTTTTTGAGTCCATTATTGCTTCGTTGTGTGTGTGTGTGTGTGTGTGTGTGTGTGGTGCTGTGTGTGTCTGTTGTGTGTGTGTGTGTGTGCTTTGGTGTGTGTGTGTGTGTTTTTTGTGTCGTGTGTATTATCTATGTGCGTGTTCTTGTGTCATTCTGTATTCATCGGCAACTGCGACTTTGTTGTGTCATCATTTTTGTATTTCATAACGCAATTGTATTTGTTTTGATTATTTGGATTCTTATTCAATGTCTGCTGACCTGATGAAGAGATGTAATCTCGAAAGCTTTTAATTAAATAATTCTAACACCCTTATTCTATACTCTTGACTTTGTTTTTATTATATAACATATATCTATATTACTATTGTGAGATATAGCTGCACGTCCAGCATAGCAACTGTGAACAACATACACGTAGGAATATCCTTCTTCATATACGGTACGATTTTTCCGGTGGCTGACCCTGTCGCTTCTTTCTCGATCTGCCTGGGCCCTGTTTTCTGTTGACCTGGTTGCAATTCGATCAAACCACATCAATTGTCACAACGGTAATCACGAACCGGCGGGGGTGTCTCACGACACACACCCACACACACACACACACACAACACACACAACAAACACACACAGCGCACACACCACACACCACACACACACAACACACAACGCAACACACACACCACACACACACACACACACACACGCGCACACACACACACACACAACACACATCACACACACCACACACACACACACAGGCACACACACGCGTGTTCTCAAAACAATTCTCACGCACGCGTGTTCACACCACACGGGTTCTCACAAACGTGTTCTCACACAACCACGGTGTTCTCACACACGGTGTTCTCACGCACGGTGTTCTCACACACGGTGTTCTCACACACGGTGTTCTCACACACGGTGTTCTCACGCACGGTGTTCTCACACACGGTTTCCACGCACGGTGTTTCTACGGAGGTGTCTCACACACGGTGTTCTCACAGCACGGTGGTTCCACACACGGTGTTTTCTCACGCACGGGTGTTCTCACGCACGGTGTTCTCACGCACGGTGTTTCTCTCCGCAGGTGTTCTCACACACGGTGTTCTCAAACGAGTGGCAATAATGGGAATAGTCGCAGCAGTAGAGAAGACCAGCAGCAGCAGTAGCAGCAGCGAGGCGGTGAAACCAGCAGCAGCAGTAGTAGTCAGCGCAGCAGCAAGCAGCAGTAGGCAGGTAGCATAGCAGCAGTAGCACAGCAGCACCAGCAGCGGGGCGGGGGGGGGATAGCACCACGCAGAGCAGCAGCAGCAGCAAGTAGCACAGCAGTAGCAGCAGCAGCAGTAGCAGCTATAGGCGGTGAAACTCCGCGGAGTCCTGGTCGATTAACTTTGTGAAATGAAAATAATTCGCCGTAGACGTGTAAGGCAGCAGGCGCGCGCGGAATTAAAGCGGACGTGACGTACGGCGAATTATACGTCTATAGGAGAGAGAAGAGAGAGAGAGAGAGAGAGAGAGAAAGAGAGAGAGAAGAGAGAGAGAGAGAGAGAGAGCGAGGCGAGAAGAGAGAGAGAAAGAGAGAGAGACGAGAGAGAGAGAGAGAGAGAGAAGAAAGAGAGAGAAGAGAGAGAGAGAGAGAAAGGAGAGAGAGAGAGAGAGAGAGAGAGAGAGAGAAAGAAAAAAAAATGGATGGGTGCAAAAACACTCACACGCAGGCCGCGCGGG